GGGAGGTTGGGAAGGCAAGTATTAAGCTCATTTGAGGTTGATAATTATATTTATAATGGTGCTCATCTGCCACTGGTCTCTATTGCTCATATATAGGCATAGAGAAAGAGGATAGTTGGGTTTAAATATGAGTGTCCTTTTGCCATAAGACTATAGTAAAAAAATTAAGGGGTAGAAGGAGCTAGGGCAGTAAAGTTGTAGAAAAATACAAAATCAAAGCTGGTTGCAGAGAGACGTTAAAGGAGAAAAGACTGTAATGAAGAAATAGACAACAGTGAACTGGCCACCTGTTTTAACAGGCATAGTTTCAAGTTGGAAGAAATGGAAATTGTGTTTAGAGTTGGTGCGTAATATATTGATTTTGGAAGTACAGCAGTTTGACATTGTAATTTAATTATGGAGTGAGTAACTTGTATGGGAGAGTGCATATAATTATTAGAGTCAATAAGAATTGAGAACATAGTTCTGTGTATTAGGATTAGATTTGCTTTCTTATTGCTGAAAATCTAAAATAAAAATAGCTAAGTTAGATAAGGACTCACTCCCTCAAAATCTGATGTTGTCAGTACCCAACGTGTGTCAATACCATGAAGTCATCAGGGACCCAAACACTTTCCAATTTCAAATCTACAAGCCAACGCATGATTACCATTTCCAGGGTTGCCTTGTGGTCTAAGATGTCTACTAGTGTTTCAGTCATACCATTTCTGTTTTAGGCAGCAGGAGGAAGAGGGAAAGGGTCAGTAGGATCTTTCCCCTCCTGTCATTTCCCCTTTAAGATTACTTCCAGAATTCTCTCCCAACAACTTCTGACAACATAGCATCAGTCTTAGTTGAATGGCCATATGCGGCTTTGAAGGATACGGGGAAATGTACTATTTGACTAGGTACATTACAACCCCCCTTAATAATGTAGGGGTCTCATTAGCAAAGAAGGTAGGAAGAAAGAATGTGGGCGGGTAGTTAGTAGTCTCTGCCACAAGTATTGATTATCCATGTGAACAGCCAAATTTTCAAGATGATGGAAGGACCTTGAGGTCCTTGGTCAATTACAAGCATTAAGATCACGTGGAAGAAAGGGGCTTGAGCTTTAGGTCAGACATTGAGAGAATACTGTAAGTAGCAGTGGGATGCAAAGAAAAAAAAACAATCATACTTGCCAATCCTGACATAGGAAGAATTATGTAAGAGAATTTCTTCAAGTGACACCTAGGGTTTAGTTTAAGACAAAGAGGGAGAGGAATCTGGGGAGATACAGGGGATGTTGCTGATTATAAAGCAGTAATTCCATGTATTACGGTAAAAGAATGGGGCCCTGTGGAAGAGGTATGGACTAGGTTGGGGTAAGAAAATATAGTTGTGGGGAGTAAGGATGTAATGAGTAATGATTCTTAACCTTATGATTTTCCTATCCATATGAGTTAAATTAATCTCTAAAATATTATGTAAATTATATATTTATATATTGATATACAAATACTATATTCTAAAAATACTGCATGTATTATTAAAGATACAGAAACAGAAATTTTCAAAGAATGATTAAAAATTATCAGTAGAAATGCTAAGATTTTCTTTCCCACACTCTCGCCAGTCCCTGGGATCCTGTAGGTCCCAAAGGCCGCAGTTTCACTATAGCATAGGGTAGGGACTCTGATAGGGGAAATATGAGTAACCTGGCATGGAATTGATCCCTACTCTCAAGCAGAAGCCTTCCTCTTAAAAATAAGATCAAGAATGCATAAAATTCTTGGTAAAATTTTGGTAATACAGTAAGACATAGCAAGATTAAATCTGGAGGAAGATAAAGCATATTATCAGTGGAAATACTGTCATGTGCTAGAGATGGCATTTGATCTGTGATCTCAGCAAATCAAACAGCCAGGAAACATAAAAAGTAAAAATATGCAGGGGCACTGGTGGCTCAGATGGTTAAGCATCAGACTCTTGATTTCATCTCAGGTCATGATCTCAGGGTCTTGGGATCGAGCCCCACCTTGGGTTCCGCGCTCAGTGCCTAGTTCACTTGTCCCCTCCCCCCCCCCGCTTCTTCCCCCACTTGCACGCGCGCACTCCCTTTTTTTCTCTCAAATAGTCTTTTAAAAAAGTAAAAATTTATTAAAGAGGGAACCACAAAATCATTAGAGAAAGGAAGGATCATTTATTAAGTGTATTTGAGATAGGTGCCAGTAACTTGTGGAGGAGAGCAAATGCGAGTTAAAGAGTTAAATTTGAAAATTTAAAACCATAGGAAAAACTAGAAAAATCACGTAACTGAGTATCTGGTCCCTTGGAGATAAAAGAACTTTCCCAAGCTTAGAATTTACACCGGGGGGGGGGGGGGGGGGGGGAAATAATAGCTTTGAGTACATAAATATTTCAAGTCTCTGTGTTTTAAAACAGATTCAGAAATTGTAAGATGGCATATTTGCAGCCAATACGTTTGTTTTCCAAAGAGTTCATGTGATGCACTATAGAAGAAGAAATGCAACAAAAACACTGGGAGAAGAAACCTGAACAGCTCACAAAGAGGAAGTGTTGGGGAGTTCAGTCACAGTTCTAAGAAGAAAAGGACCTAAGACAGGCACAGATCTTGAACAGCTCAAAAGAGATGGGACTGGTTTAAAAGGAGAGGGTGTTCAACCATGCTTTAAGAGGTGTGGGGGGATGGGGAGGTGGGGAGAGATGATTAAAACCTTATAGACAGATGGGTAAAGGACCTAGCCATGTTGCTAAAAAAATATGACTGGTTAAAAAAAAAAGAAAGAAAAAGAAAATTTGGTCACATTTGTTATCAAAGCAGGAGACATTTAAAATGAGCGGGTTTTTTTGTTTTTCAAATTAGAATCTGGTTTTGGGTCAAAGTGATACCCTGTGCTGGCTGGTATGCAGAGAAAACAGAAGCACTATGCTTTTTATACTGTGTGGCAATGTAAATCTGTACAATACTTTTGGAACTCCCATTTTTTTTCTCTTGTTAATGACTAGATGGATCAAACCCTGAAATTTGATATGTGAAAATAAATACATTAATAAATTAAACATCAAACTCTGTAATATGAGATAGTCCTAAAAGCCTAAGTATTAAAAAGTAGTATCTTCAGATAAAGCTTTTCAAATTAAAAACACAATAAATAACTGTGTATCGTGTGTATCTTAATACATTTTTAAAGAAGATATCATCGAGTAGGCATAATTGAATTAGAAATCTTGAGAGTAACTAGCAGATACCAAGCTATGTTATAAAGCTCTAGTAAATAAAGCAGTGATAGGCCAGTAGACTAATGAAGCAGGATAGACAATATACAGAATTGGGCCCTTTTATCCCATGGAAGCTTAATATATGATAATGAATGATAAAAGTGGCATTTAAATCAGTGGGGCAGAATGAGCTATTCTTTCATCCATGTATTTATCTATTCAGAAAATGTTTATCGAAGGCCAAGCACTATCCTACATGCCAAGGGTACATCAGCAAACCAAATAGACTAAAATCGCCATCATCACAGAGTTTAAATTCAAGTTGGAGTAGAGATGGTGGATAAATAAGTAGAAGATGATTACTTGCTGAGAGAAAAGTAAAGCAGAGAAGGGGGATAGTGTTCACAAGATTTCATTTGAGGGGAAAAACATCATATCCCTCCTTTATACTGTGTAAAGTAAACTACCACAAGGCAATTTGTTGAAAAGCAAACAACCCAATAGAAAATTTGACAGATGGGGCACCTGGATGGCTCAGTCATTAAGCATCTGCCTTCGGCTCAGGTCATGATCCCACGGTCCTGGGATCGAGCCCCGCATCGGGCTCCCTGCTCGGTGGGAAGCCTGCTTCTCCCTCACCCACTCCCCCTGCTTGTGTTCCCTCTCTCGCTGTGTCTCTCTCTTTCAAATAAATCTTTAAAAAAAAAAAATTTGGCAGATTTTTTCTTTTATTTTCATAGCTACTCCTAATTCATTATGGTGGATGTAGAGCTATCCAGTAAATATACAGTACATTTTTAGTAGTGAAAATGAAATATCATGTAAAATCTTGACACTGATAAGTTTAATAATACCAGGTTTTTTTTGTTTGTTTTGTGGGTTTGGAGAAATGGTGCTTGCATATGTTGGAGATATAACTGCATATTGGTAATCTGTTTTGGAGGACGGTTTAAGAGTAGCTCTCAAAAGTGAAAAAGATAACGTACTATGACCCGGGTATTCCATTTCTTGGTATTTGCCTCTGGGAACTCTTGAATGCATGCACAAGAAGGTATGGTAACACAACAAGATTTGTAGTAACGAACACCTGGGAACTACCTAAATGTGCTTTCATTAGAATGATGTGTCCATAGCACTGTCGCAGATTTCCAGGACATATTTGGAGAATGTAAGAGTAAATTACAGGTGGTATGTACACACCAATGGTAACAATTACCACCAAACCTTTCACAGCTCCTATTACCGGAAGAGCTATTAGGATCATGGTGTCACAGAGGTTTTTTTTAGGTTTAGCCTTCTCTCAATGTTTTTATTAACTTTTTTAAAACGGTATATATATATACTATATATATATATATATATATAGTATATATAAAAATAACTAAAATAGTTCTCCCTGTTAGCCTCAGCTCAAGTATGTTTCGCAGTCTTCTAGCTCATATTACATATTTTATCAGTATCACTTTCAGGCACTGGTAAGTGCTCTTGTACATGTCGTTTTTCTGATTGCCTTAACTTGCCAATTACAGGTCTTTTTGATAGTTTAGGTTCTGGTCTTTTCTCTTTTTTTCTTTCTGCCAAAAGAGAAGGCCTTACTTCTTGATTAAAAAAAAAAAAATTGCTATTATCATGAGTCTGTTTCATTCTTTGGATAATATTTGTGTGTTCTTTATTTTTGTAAATAAGATCCATAGTAAATCAAAGTTTTATTTTTAAATTCACTTAAATTATTTATTAGAACATGTATTTTAAACATTCAGTAATGGAAATTGTTCAAGTCATCTCATTTTTTTTTTTAGGTCGTTTATATGCAATGCAAACTGGAATGAAGATTGATAGTAAAACTCCTGACTGTCGTAAATTTTTATCAAAGCTAATGGATCAGTTAGAAGCTGTAAGTTAAACACTGATCATTTATTTTCTGATTAATGTTTTAAGTGGCACTTTATTATATTTGTGTATGTGTATTTTGCCATTTTAGTTCTTCCTCTTGGCAGCCATCAAGCAATGTCATTACAGCTGAGGAAAAACTAGACACCATTTTTTTTTTTAATATTTTATTCCTTTATTTGGCACAGAGAGAGAGAGCACAAGCAGGGGGATTAGCAGGCAGAGAGAGAGGGAGAAGCAGGCTCCCTGCCGAGCAGGGAGCCCGACGTGGGGCTCTGTGCCAGGACCCTGGGATTGTGACCTGAGCCGAAGGCAGATGCTCAACTGACTGAGCCACCCAGGTGCCCCGACACAATTTTTTCATTTACATCTTACTGCTAAGGGAGTTGTAAGCATAAGTTAAAGTAGATATCAGTGTCTTTGCATATACCACTATATCTTGTTATTGTAGATGTTATTATAGATGACCTTTGAGTCATTCTTTCATAAGTGACAAACGCTTTCTAATCTACTTCATACAGTCACACGGATGACTGATTTGGGAATTCTTAAATAGCTCTTACAATAATGACATGGGCTACTTATTTAGTGAAAGGGACAGCGAAGGAAATGGTATCAGTTGCCTATAGTCTCTTTGTCTCACTCTTGGTGCCAGGACAAGATTATTTTATGGTCTAGGCATTCTTCCCTGCTAGCAGAAATGTGGTAGGTGATTAATATATGAGTCACCTTCTTGAACCATGATATAATTTCACAGGTTATATAGAGGCAGCAATCCAGAGAAAATTGAATGGGCTGGATTGGGTGTTAGTGCAGGAAGGCACGGGTAGCCATAGCAATACAACTTAATAATCAGGACTCTACCCTGTCCTCCCCTGCCCAGCTGTCCTGGTTTTTGTTTTAACAATGTCAGGGTCTACTCCTCATTAATTTATTTCTTCAGAGGCTGTTATATTAATAGCTGCAGCTTTTTATTAGTTATGTGACCCGCTCAAGAGAATTAGAAACCTAAATATTTGACTAGTTGCATTATTTTGTGTAGAGAGACAGAATTTTAGATATATTAAAAATCAAAACATTTGTAATAGTCAGCCTGGAGGTTTTATAAATGTTGAAAGTTACTCCGATCAAAACCTAGTTACATTAAACAGCCATGGGCAGTAGGGCTGTAAGTTGTTACAGGTATCTGGCCTTCTGACCCAGAGTCCCTGTCACTGCTGCTATTAACCACCCATTGGACCTAGTGGCACCACTGATAGGAATCCAGCTGCCCTTGAAGCCTGTCTGTCCTTCCACTTCTAACATGGTTTCTGTAGGTACAGGAAGTATTTGAGTATTCTTTTTTTGGAAGGTGAGGTTAGGGGGTAAGAGAAGGAATGTGTCTCACACATAGCAATACATTTATAAAATCATATTGCTAACAGACTTTGTATAGAATATATCTATGAATTTCACAATATAACAGTAATAACTAAAATACCTTATGGATAAGACAGAACTCAGAGTAGTTCTTTATAAAAAGCAAAGTATAAAATCACATTTGTAAAGGGACTCAGCAGGAGTTTATTATTATCTAAATTAAATAACAGGTAAAATAAATCTATTCCATGGTGAGTCTATCCTATATCTGCCTGTGCTGTAATATTTAGATTACAGTTGGAAAACTGAGTGTATTATGTTTTTGCTGCCAGATATTTCATGTTGAAGATGAAATGAAGTGACATATTTCCACTTTTTTCTAGAAGTAAATCCACTTCTAGAATTAAAGCATTTCATAGTGTGGAAATAGTAAACTAGGGTTTTTTTCCTGGTTTTGTTCAGGATGAGTATAGCTAAAACATCCTTAAATTCCAACATTAAATCTCTTCTGGAACTTATATTATTCTGTTGTAATCATGAGAATGTTTATTTTGCTGATTTTGTGAAGAATCCTGAAGCTTTTTTTTAATTTAATTTTTTACTTTATAACATTTTTGAGAAACGCCATTTTTAAGTAGTAGTGTGGTACTCCGATCTGATATTCCAGAAAACCCTTTCAGTACAACAGTCTGAGTAAGATGTAGGAACTTAGTTTGTCGTGTTTAAAATATTTTAAATTATCATATGTGTAGGAAAAGGATATACTGACTGAAAATTTACAGTTGTGAATTGTGTTAACGAGGTATATATTTGTCTAAATTTTAAAAACTTCGCTAATCCTTTTCTGAGTTTGTGATCTCATACTGTAGAATTATATCTGTTTTTTTACACAGTATGTTCTGGGCGATACTCTTTTAGGATATAATGATTTCTATAATCATATTTTTTTATATTTGATAGAAGAAATTGAAATGAGAATAAAATAAAATTTTAAATTATGATTAGAGAATTCCTGATTCCATCTTTAGGATACCTGATAGTATATTGGCTGTTACTTTGAAATGTTTGTCTGATGCTTTACATAGATTGTTGGATGTGTTATCTTTTTATTCTTGGTTATTTTGTTTTAGAGTTAAATTATCCTTTCAGGTTATCATGAGTGTGTTTCTTCATAATTTTGTAAACATTGGATTTTATTCTAAAAAGCCTTGGGCTGAGGCAGAGCAGTTTGTGTGAGATTTCATTCATACCTCTTTTACTGAAATGAATATAAAATAATTTTTAAAGTTTAAAATGATTCTTAGGATTATTTGTACTTAAGCATACATTTCTGTGAGTCCAAAATCTTAAGCTTTGTATCTGATTTAATTTTAGCTTAAGAAACAGTTGTGTGATAATGAAGCTATTACTCAAGAAATAGTTGGTTCTGCCCATTTGGAGAATTATGCTTTGAAAATGTTTTTGTATGCAGATAATGAAGACCGTGCTGGACGATTTCACAAGTAAGTAAAGTAAGAGGAAAATTAAAATTGTACATTTCATTACTGTGTAACTGGAATTACCTGGTTTGCCATTGGACACTTTCAGACTTCTTGATTAATGATTTAGATTTTTTTTTAATTACTTGTAGAATGTCAAAATGATTTTGGGTACAAGAACAAGCCTGTCTTTTTAGGCTGACAAAAGAATAGCCAGGGCAGATTTATTTTTTCAGTAATTACACCTCAAGTAGCAATTCTTTAACATTTTGGTAAAATCTAAGAGTTGATTTTAGCCAGTGACAGCCTGGTGCAATGATACTGATTTTTTAAATTATCACAACCTGCTAATTCAAATGATTTGTCATTACTTAAAGGCAAAGAAATGCACATGGCTTGATACAGATTCAGATAATACTGTAATTGCTTTTTTTTTTTTTTCTCAGAGTATGTGCATGTGTCGGTGGGGGTTGGGGACAGAGGGAGAGGGAGAGAGAGAGAATCTTAAGCAGACTCCATGCCCAGAGCAGGGCTCGATCTCACAACCCTGAGATCATGACCTGAGCCAAAATCAAGAGTCAGACACTTAATCAACTGAGCCACCCAGCCACCCCTATAATTGCATTTTTTAATAAAAAGTATACTATAAAACCTTGCTGTAGTATATTTATTTGTAATATAAATGTTGTTACTTTCTCCTAATAACAAATTACAGAAGGAGTTTCATTGTGTTCTTCAAATCTGATTTTATTTAGGGCGCCTGGGTGGCTCAGTTGGTTAAGCGACTGCCTTCGGCTCAGGTCATGATCCTGGAGTCCCGGGATCGAGTGCCGCATCGGGCTCCCTGCTCGGCAGGGAGTCTGCTTCTCCCTCTGACCCTCTTCCCTCTCCTGCTCTCTATCTCTCATTCTCTCTCTCAAATAAATAAATAAAATCTTTAAAAAAAAAATCTGATTTTATTTAAAACATTAATTTCAGAGTACTTTTGTAAACACTGGAATTTTTTTTTCTTATAGTTACATGACTAATTCTGCAGCTTAATGTTTTTCATTTAACTAAACCAGCTTTCTCTTCTCTTTTAGAAACATGATCAAGTCCTTCTATACTGCAAGTCTTTTAATAGATGTCATAACAGTGTTTGGAGAACTCACTGATGAAGTGAGTGTACATTTTTTATTGTTTTGTTAGCCTAAGCTCAATATTGTTGCTCTTTATGAGTTTTGTAATTGCATTGCTTCCTTAGAGCAGCATGCCTATCAGAAATGTAGTATAAGCAAAAAATGTTACTTTAAATTTTCTACTGGCCACACTTGTAAGAAGATGAAATAATTCTTAATAATATTTTATTTTTTGTAGTAAGTTCTTTAAATCTAGTGTGAATTTTACAGTTTAGCAGATGCACACCTACTGTGTTAGGCAGCACAAGTTTAGGGTTTGATTTTATTAAGTGCTTAAATATTACTAATCCTTTATGCTGTTAAATTACTACACTGTTATCTGGTAAGTAGACTGGAGGCAGAGGCTTTTAGGATTTTTTTTTTCTTAATTTAATTTTTAATCAGAAATATTATGATTTGTTTCATTGTAAAGTACACATAGAACTTGATATTTTCTGAGATACTTCATATCCATTTTAGCATTTTGTTTTTCATAACCTCTAAGGTAAGTAGAGCCTATATTCATTTTATACATGAGCAAATTGAGGCTAAGTGAAAACTGAGTTTATTGCTGTGAGTTCAGTGTTGTTTTCACTGTAGCACGCTTTACCATTGGCATGGAAAATGTGTTTTTTGAGAGAGGAGATAATTAATATAGAAATAGAGAAAAAGCTACAAATGAAACTGGTAAAGGCATGATATTAATGATTTGATATTTATGAAGAGTATTGCTTTCTGTGACATGATTTTTTTCCCAAATGATGAGCAGCTCATAGTAAAGTTCCAAATAAAACAAAGTATAATCTGTCAATGAGATGTTTACATTTTCATAAAACAATATAGCAAAACTATGCAAAAAAATTCTTTATATATTTAAAACAAAGTTAAGCTCTGGGCTTGATGATATAAGCTAGGTTTTTGCATTACTGCAAAAGAGATGTGCAGGACATTTCAAGGTTGTGCCCAATGAACAATTTTTTATTATGTGGGACTGTCCCTTTTGTTTCAAAATATCAGGCATCCCCAGCCTTGCCTACACAGCATTTCCCAATCATTCCGTTAACCAGAAACCACCCGCAGATATTTCCAAAAGACCCTCTACGGTATGGGGCAATGCCCATCGAAAAGTCACGTTTTCTGGTTGCCTTGAGACAGAGTAGTATAAGAGAAAACAGACCTGCAGCATGAAACCTAAAATGCTTCCTAGTGGTTATACCTTTTTTGTATTCTGAAGGCTCTATGGATACTCTTTAGCTCCCTCTCTACTCCCATCTTGTGTTATGGCTGATCTGGAGTTCTTTTTCCTCTGTTTTTCTGGTGTGCAGCCCTATACTGTCTACTTGAGGATACAGAAGGGTTTAAACATGGTGATGGACTAGTCCTTTTTAAAGTTTTAGATAAGTATGGTTTTAGAAAGTACCAGGTAAGGTGAAGGAGAATAGAGTTCAGATTAAAAAATAAGTCATAAGACAGATCAGACAGACTATAAAAGGCCTGGAATCTTCAGTTGGTGGGTTTTTTGAATAAAGAACTATACTCTGGTGTGCTTTGTATGATAGGAATCTGTGGAATGAACTAGGCTGAGGAACTACAAGTCATTTGACAAAAGAACTAGTTAATGATTATTGTGGAACTTTGTTCAAGATGGGTTTTTTATTTGAGGAAAAATAATATGGACAGATTATAAAATCTGAGGTGTAGATCCGGCATCCAAGAATAAGTCAGCACAAGTCTCTTGGAAATAAGAAGACAAGAAATCTGCAAAGCAGAGATGGCAATTCAAGTTAGATTAGATACACCCTCACGTAAGAGGATAGTTTTGAAAGAGAAGGTGGTCATGTACACATCCTGGGTAAATAATTAACATTGAAAATGCAAGAGGAAGACGTGCATACAGAAATAAAGTGGAGACACTCAAGATACCAGAGAAGATCATGATACCGCAGAGCTGCAGAGTAGCAGATCCATTTGCCCAGTACTTCCAAAAGGACTCTCCTTCCATCACCCACCTGCTCTTAAGGAAAGTGCTCCCCCTATCTCAGAAGAAAGACCACAGTCCTTTGAACTTACAGATGCCAACCATGAGGACCCCAGATAATAGGTAAAGTAATAGATACAGGAAAAACAAAATATCTAGAAGTCTTAAGTGAGTAATGCAGGTTTTGCTTTAAAAAAAAAAAAAAAAAACTGAAAAGATACATACATAACATGCATGCATAATTAGTGTGAGGTTCATCTGCATTTCAGAAAAAGATCTAGGTTTATATTTAGGTATTCTTAACAAAGAACAACATTAGTTATTTAAACATAGCAACTAGGACAGGGACTCTGAATAGGGCAAATGAGAGGGCTTCAAAAGGAGTGGGGGAGATTGTTTAGAGACTGAGGATGCTAAAGGATGTATGTAGCAACAGAGTAAAGAGCCATGTTCCCAGAATGTTGGCACTCTTTTCTTTCCCTGTCTCACCACCCAACCTGCTACCCGAGCTCTTCTACCTTGCACTGGTACTAGACTAAAGTAGAAAATAGCATCTGTGTTGTTTAAAGGACCCAGCTAGCTGGAAGGGTCTGAAATGGTACAGAGAAAAGAAGTTAGGCATTCTAAGGCCAGCTTGAAAGGGAAGTTCTTATTGTTATTTGATTGGGCTGAGGTTATTCCTTGGGCCTTCATCATGTAAGATGCCATGTAAGTAGCACATACTTAAATCAAGAAATGTGTATATGCACAATTAGTGTGTTATATGTAGGTGCTTTTCACTAACTTTTTTTGTTCCATTATTTCCCGTGTCTGGAAATGGCATCTTCATTGTCATTACTGAGATTTTGGTTTTTCAGAATGATGGTGTGAAATGTCAGATAATTGTAAATAAAGTTCCACTGAGTGGAATAGGGAGAGATCCACTCTGGCTGTGGCTTTTCCAGCTTGTCATCAGCACAGATGAGCAGGATGGTGATCGGCATCAACCGTTTCCCCCAAGTCCTCATTGTTGTCTTAAGAAAATCTAGGGCTTGTATTTACTTACTTGTGATTTAAGCCCGATATGCCTAAAACAAGGCACAAGCTCTTATAACATTTCTTATCTGAAACTAACTATTAAAAAGATGAGCTGTTTTAAAAAATTATGGCTATAAACTGGTTACTCAAAGCATTTAGCAGTTTTAACTCATTCCCTGCTTTCTACTTCTACTATAGTTACAGCCTGTACTTGGAAAACACTAGCAGAGACACAGACAGGAAACATAGGTGGGAAAAAATTAAGTTTAAGGATTTCAGGTAGGGTTTTTTTTTGTTTGTTTGTTTTTTGTATATATCCTCCTATAGGTATAGTTCAGGACTCTATAACTTATTTGTTCATTTATAAGGTAAGTACAGTGCTGCATTTAACTAGAGAATATGCCAGAGTTTTTAACAAAGCTAAAACTTTCCTCAAAAATAGTTGTTTTCCTTGCCTCTCAAAGAACGCTGTTTTGAGAAACACTAAAATTTGTAACAACAGAAAATGGGGAGGGGAAAGGCATTATAATTGTCACATAATTTTTATTTGTGTATTTTTAAATTCTCTTAATTTTATCATCTTTATAAACAAGGGAATGGTGGTTTTTAAATTCATGTTTTCTAAAGTTTTTAAAATACTACATTTTTTCACTATCAGCTCTGAGAATTTATTTTAAAAGAGATAGTGGTTGTGAGAGGCAAGCCCCACTGAACTCAAAACCAAGAAGTCATTTTACTTCTTTGGACTTGGTTTTTCTTCTGTAAAATGGGAAGCCTGGATGAGCAAGTCTCTGCGGTCCTCTGCAGCTCCACCAGTCTCTAAGAGTATATGTTCCACATGTGGGAGAGGTGATGGGAAAGGAACAAAAAACAAAGACGAACAAGCAAAAGAGAGAAAAGGGGAGAGGCAAAAACAGTTTTAGATTAGAAGCTACAAAAGGAGGCATAAAAACTCTATATTATAGTAAAAAGTAGACCCACTGAAAATATGATAGCACAAAACAAATTTCTAGTAGGAGGAAGGGAGAAGAAAGCTAGCATTGCAACATGGGGAGTGGGCAAGCTGAACACCTGGGGCCTTCTGTATGACATTTGTATGTGAAGATTTTGAGTCTTCTAATTAAATTCTTTTTAGCTCATGTTCCAGTCATTTTTTTAAAAGTCCACTTTTAAAAGTCCACAAAAGTCATGACTGCGATTTACCTAATTTATCTTCCTATTTGGGGTTCTTTTTCTCTACAACGTATTTTCCCCTGTTACTGTTTTATTGAAGGACCTAACAGGGACTGTTCACTTCCTAGCATTGCAAGTCCAGGCTCCAACCTGTGGTACTTCTTCCCAGTCCTCTTTCATGTTCGTCAGACCAGTCTCTCACTGCCTGCTCGGTTTCTACCACTGATAACTGTTGTGTGTTTTGCCTGCTTGCTACGCCTTGCCTTCTCTTTGAGTCAGCTACATTACTCTCGCCCTTACATGAATTTCCCCATTCTCTCAACTTCCACCTTCAGAGTCTTAACTGTATGAATATTATACTATAATGTATTGCTTTAAGTTTTATAGATTATATTTTGGAATAAATTATACCGCAAGTCCTTGCAAGAGGCGACTTTGTCTCATTCTACTCTTACATCTTCTTTGGCATTAAGTGTAAATTTTCACCCTGAGTAAAATCTCAGAATAAAAAACAGTGGCTGATAATTGATATTTCAGATGTTGCTCCAGTTCAGCTTTTCATTTTTCTATCTGTAGATGGAGATAATGTTCAGACTTGTTTACACAGAACTTCTTTCCTAAGTCTTCTAAAATGTAATAGATCTCTTTTACTCACAGCATTTTTCTTGGTTATTTCCTAATATTTTTTCACATCATTATTCATAGATGCACAAAAATAAAGTCTATATTTTCTTTAGTCTACAACTTTTTTTTTTAATATTTTATCTGCCACTATTCTGTTTTTTAATTCTTCTATCTCTGTTTTAGTTATACCTATTTAACTCTTCTAACTG